GCCGCGAGGTCTGTGTGTCGGGGAGCCGCCTGGTGAGGGGCAGCGTGAGGAGTCTGATGCAAGAATAGAGCGTACTGAGCTTTTGAAAGAGGTTTAGTTGATCAAGAGTTAGGGGTTGTTGAAAGCGTTAGTAAAATAAAATTTCTAGCTGGTGTTTATGTAATATGAAATAGCAGCAGTAGTCCCTGTGTTTTAAATCGTTGAAGATCATTTTATTGACTAGCTAAAGCTGAAATTTCTGTATATTTTGCAGTTCAACATGCAGATCTTTGTGAAGACCCTGACTGGCAAGACCATCACCCTTGAGGTTGAGCCCAGTGACACCATTGAGAATGTGAAGGCCAAGATTCAGGACAAGGAAGGCATTCCCCCAGATCAGCAGAGGCTGATCTTTGCTGGCAAGCAGCTGGAAGATGGTCGCACCCTCTCTGACTACAACATCCAGAAGGAGTCCACCCTCCACCTTGTGCTGCGCCTGAGGGGTGGCTGCTAAGTTACTGACCATCTGGCTTGACAACAGGGTTGCCAATAGTATTTGTGTTTGCACTGTAGTTCTTTGATGTCTTAAGTTAAATGCAACGTTAATGCAAGCTTATGTGACTGCTGAACACCTGTCTGTTGAAATGCTAATAAAGTTTTGTTGCACATGACAATTTGTAGTCTGTCTCAGTTAAAGCTAGTAAAACTGGTGTATTTAAGTGACATGCTTACTTGGTTTTGTTCCCTGGCAGTTTAAGCCTCTTTGCGTGTATAATGAGGACCTTGTGGATGAAAATGGTTTGGATTAAAGTCTTTAAATTAAGCACTAATACCTTGTTATTTCTTCTTAGTTTAACATAACTCTTATTTCCAGGAAGGATAATGTGGTCTGTTAAAAGACCCAAGAAAGCCACAAACCAAATGAAGGTGGTATGACTTTCAGTATTGGGGTAGGTTTTGCTGGAACTTGTAAACTTGTAGTGTGCTTAAGTTTACGGGAGAAAGTGTGAACAGTTTCATTAGATGGCACTGCCATGAAGTGACTTGAGCTTCAGTATGCTCTGGGGGGCTCTAAGCAAATGCAGGTAGTTCTGTGTTTTTAAGTGGAAGAACTATTGCAGTGACAGCCTGTGCAAAGTAAGTTTTGGAGAGAAGGGGCTGTGGGTTGTTGCCCTGGGTCGCTGAGCCATGTGGAAGGCCATGGTCTGGGGAGGGCTCCTGGTGGTGAGAGTCCCTGCTGGTGCAGGGGGGGCAGTGGGAAGTTAAGGCTGCCTTGGTGTGTGGGCTCTAGTGAAGGCTGTTCTAATGGCAGTATGTGGCTTTTTTTCGCATGATAATACCAAAAGTTAGGGCGTTACCACTAAAGCCTGGGTTGTCTTCAATGAGGTTGGTTAAGGAGACTTGCCAAAACAGATGTGGGGAGGCATAAGGATGGTGGGCTTAGAATGGTTGAGTTCAGCTGTGTAGTGGGTCTTCAAAGGTGGGTGTGATCATCCAGTGCCCTCTCACTGACAGCCATGACCCTTACAACCTGGTAATGTCCTTCGTCTGTGGAATTTTAACAGCAGCAGTAATTTGAAATGGGAGTACTGCCATCCGTGTGCTGTGTGCACAGTGTGCTGTTGCCCTTTGCCTTTTCATGGTAGCCCCTGGATAAGGCACCATCTGGGTTGATTTTTTTTTTTCTGTGCACTGCAGTGTTGCTGTGGAGGTTTGTTCCACTTGCATTTTGGCTTTGAATTTAACATCAGTGAGTATCTATGGTAAGCAATGCACTTGTATTGGTGCGTTCTTAGCATGGATTGATGTGCAATTGTGGCTGAAAAGTTACACTGGTGTTTTCATAGAAAACTGCACATAGTAACTTCAGTGTGATTTTGATTGTTATAACTGTGATAAGGTTGTTTCAGTGGCAGGGTTTGCTTCCTTGTCTACTATAGATAGCTGTGCTAACAAAAAAGTTATGTGAACAGTTGCTGTTTCTACCATGAGAGATACTGCCTTTAGATTACTTGAGTGTTCTGCAGTTACTTCTTTAGCCTTTCCTTGTTTTTAAGCTTTTTGCAGTTTAGCTGCTTAGCCAGGGTTTGCTTTTTCCCATTCTCAGCAGGTTGCCCTGAGAGGCTGGGGATGCTTGGAAGGGGTCTGGAGGTGGTGCTGGGCAGCTGGCTCTGGATGGCCCTGCTTGAGCAGGGGCTGGGCAAGGTGACCTGCAGAGGTCCTGTCCAGCCCCAGCTAGTCTCCTGCCCTACTGTCTGCACAGTGCTGTGTGTCCAGAGGAGATAACGGCACTGAATAAATTTACTTACCTTCTGCTGCTGTTGATTTGCTCTGTGGTAAAGCCAGCTGCTTTGTCTTCCCTGGCTCATAAAAGATGTCCTTTCTCAAGTTGTTGTAATAATGGAGCTATGCTGTATGGTAAGTTACAGACAGGAACTGGTCAGATGATGCAGGCTGGGGTGGAGCAGTTCGTTTCAGATCTGAGTCTGTAGATGGCAGGTCCCCCTTCTCCTGAGCCAGTATCTGAGCGAGAACCAGTGCAGAAGTGTTGCTGGAACATGGTGTGGTGCCTGGGCGCACGAGGCCATGTTAGGTGCAGCTGCCTTGGTGCAGAGCTGTCCTGGGGGACCGGTCTGCCAGAGTGGGGACCCTGGGAGGGTGGTGTGTACCTGGGTCTGCGCCAAGCTGGCGTTGGACCATTGCCTCTGTGGGTCCTGCTGATGGTCTGTTTGGGGGTGGTTCGTGAGCAGAGCAGTGCGTGGAGCCCGCTTCTGTCTGAGGTAATCAGCAGTGGGAAGGGGGGGATGCTCCGGCATTTTGTGATGCTGGGGAACAACTCAGGGCTACTTCAGGCAGCCTGAGCCAATGGTGTGAAACCAAAGGGGTCTGTGCTGTGTTCCCCAGCCCATTGGGAAGATTTGTTTAGGCAAGGTTTTTGCTGATGGTTAATTAGCTGTGCATTTGGCTTACTATAAATGGCACAGAACAGCACGTCCTTAAAGCCAGAGTACAAGGAGTGAAATCCCCAGAAGCTTGTCATGTTGCAGCACTGGCCTGGGTGACATGCATAGCCAGAGTTGGACGGCTCGCTGCAGGGACGCGGGGTCTCTTGTGTCGGGCTTCTGCTTCTCTTGGAGGAGCTGCGTTGTCGAAGCTTCAGATCCCCCCGCTAACTGAGAGGTGGCAATCGCTAGCTGGAAGGGATGACTGCAAGGGATTTCTTCATTTGTAAAGAAAAATCTTTGCAATTTATCTTAAATTATGTAAGTTAGGGAAATACATATAAATTACAAGGAAATGTACATATGAATTTGCATAACATGTTTATGCTGAAGTTATGAAAAAAAGACAAAGCGAGAGGTATCAGGCAATGGGAATGATTCATGTTAAGATACAACATTTGTTTTTCTTACAGTGTGGCGATACTTCAATCTGCTTAGAGCCAACTATTCATAACTAAAATAAGAATTTAATAGGCTTTAGCCAGAATCTATAGGCTATTAAAATAAAATAATCCTAATGCTCCCATATTGACAACAGATTCTGATAACATCTTTTAATCCTGCTGCAAGCTGAGCTTTGTGACTGGCCTTGGTTATTTTTCTTAGAGCTTCAGTTAATTTCTAGTCTGTTCTCTTTTAAAAAAAAAATTCAAGATTTCAGGGGTTTTGTCTTCTGAACTTTTAAAAAAATACTTGTCTGTTTTAGGAAGACAAATCGGATAACCCTGTTGTACTGGGTTTTGGGTACATTTATGTGTTTGCTGCAGTAGCAACTTGCCCAGACCATGATCATGCAGGGAGAGTGAGGGTTAAGGCAGAGGCACATTGGGAATTCCTCCGTGTTTCTGCAGTCTTGTCTGCAGGTCCACAGGCATTGTGTAGTGGCTGTGCTCACAGATTCTCGGCTGCACAGTTTTATATTTATGGAACTTTGCTGCATCATCAAAACCAGCCTTATTTGGAACACGAGTTTTTAAATTATACAAGTTTCTGTTAACTATTTTGATACAAAGAGGGAGTGAATGAAGATAATTCTCACAAGCGTATGCTTGCAACTCTCTATTTTTGTAGGATTTCCTCTCGAGGCCGTTGTCAGCAGCAGCCAGAACTCAGGCTTAGTTCGAGGCCGCTGGATGTCACTGTTTCTCCACAAAAGGGTTATTTTGTCACTACCGTTGGGTTTCAGAGTTTGCTGCCATTTGTCAGTGGAGTGTTCCTACAGGCTGTAATCCTACGGAAAGGGATACATCAACTAGAAAGATACTTCCATGTAAGGAATGAGAGAAGGGGATGGTTGCTTCAAAGGCTGGAGAAGTGTATATCTAGGAGTCTTTATATATTATGATGTAAGACTAGTAGTTACAGAAATACTGTCACGTAAATTAATGGAGTCCCCAGGGCTATCGGACAAATTCTGACAAGGAATTAGGAATATTGGGATTTTAGATTGGGCATTGGCTGGTGTCTCTAGAGGTACAGGATTCTATCTGTGGAACTAAAAGAAAGCTGCCAAAATTCATCCTTTCAAGTGTGGGTTTTATTTAACGGCTGCAGGAAGTCTGGCCTTGCAAAAATACTTGATATTTTCCCAAGTGTGATAGTACACCTTTAAAAGAAACGGTTTTCTCTTTTAGCTGCGTGGCCTTGGTGAGGATGAAGCGCTGGCCTACTGGTTGTTCTGGAGAGAATTTTAACGGTCCATCCTTGCATGCAGTTACAGGCTTCCCTTCTCCTGTGAAGATGATTTTGAGCTGTTGTCCCTTAAAGCGGCTACAGATCAGTGCTGTAATTAAGTCACAGACCATGTAAGTGACTTTGATCTTCTATTTAGAGCATACAGAAAATGTGGTATTAATTGTGAGACCATTACATTTTTCAGTATTTGGTAAAAATGTGCACTGAAGTGAACAGAGAATACGTATTTTGGGAAAGTGCTTGTTTCCGTCTTCTGAGAAAGCCATCTTCCTCATGCTTCCTTTTGCCTTCTGTTTAAGCAGCTTCTGGTCACTGGTTTTCCTACTGTGAATTACTGTGCTTCTTCATATATGACCTAGAATTATATCATAATTATAATTATGAAAATATTTTATAATATTATGAAAACTACTGATTTTACTTAAAATTTCACTTAGTAGTTAAGAGTTTGACTTTTCTCTTCCCAGAGTTAAGGTTTCCACAGAATGTCTCTTCCCCCATCAGGAGAACCTTAGCATTGTCAGATACATTTTCATCAGTAAATTCAGTACTGAGCAATTGCAAGATTCCTTCTTGTTCCTCCAAATAAAAGCCTCAAAAGGCAAGAGGATCATGTGCTGCTTTTGAACATTCAGGTGGGCAGATAGGTGAAATTAAATTGCTTCTGTTATTCTCCCTGCGTGCTGCTTTGGAAGGCTTTTTCCTGATGCTTAACAGTGATCAAGATTTTAAATTTTGGTGGCAGGATGCTTGTTAAGCACCATAACCAGCTCAGCAGGCTCCTGTATGGCCATGACAATCCTGTTACTGGCCCCAGAGCGCTGTCACTGGCAAGCACATGTTTGGGCGGATCTTGTCTTTTTTTTTTTTTCTGCCTTGCTTCTCCCTTCTCTGAAATGGAAGTGCAAGTGTTTACCCTGGTGTACTCTCTGCAAAAGCGTGTGCGCATGTGTGTGCACTCGTTCACTGGCAAGCACATGGTTGGGCGGATCTTGTCTTTTTTTTTTTTTTCTGCCTTGCTTCTCCCTTCTCTGAAATGGAAGTGCAAGTGTTTACCCTGGTGTACTCTCTGCAAAAGCGTGTGCGCATGTGTGTGCACATACCAAC